AAAACACTAGTCTGAGGGATTGAACTTAATTAATAAAATAACCACTTAATTTTCATGGAAGATTATGAAACCTGAAGACTCATGTCAGAAAAATTATCTGCAAAAACCAAAGTCGCAAGAGAAAGGAAAGCTAGCAGTTTGGTGCTGTACCCAAAATTAGAAGTCGTACACGTACCACTTCCTCACATGCATTAACATTTCTCGTGAACAAATTAAAGCACTTCATACCTAACTAGTACTATCCCTTAATTGCGCATACAATGAATTAGATTTCAAATTTATAGTTGTACCAACATCATCAAGTAGATTGTCCCAAATGTTTTGAAGAACCTAGAGTGGGATAACCCCGATCAGATCGTGAAGAGATCAACTGAAAGCTTAGATTATTAGGTGGAGAAATATTGATACTAATTATACTCAAAGCTAACTAATTATTATTAAGATCGAGAATGCGAGATAACTTAGATTAGGATTGTAATTAGCCAACAAAATTTGATCAAATTCTCCAATTGTGACCAAGTCTATAGTCCATGGTAGTCACCAATTTGGTTTAGATCTGAACAACCCCTTGGATACGTACTATACTAGTCTACAGAGACATTAGGGGTCCTTCAATTTGAAATGGCTACGTTTCATTTTTAATTTTTAATTTCCCAATTTGTACAAGGAAAATTTTTATTTTTATTTTTATATTTACACAACGGCGATAGTGTTTTATTAATGAAGAAAAAGAGTAACAAGTAAAAATAATAATATATTATGACTATCCTAAAGGATTAGGCAAATATTATACACCAAACGAAGCATAGTGGTCATTGGTCTACCGAAGTACCCTACTTTCTCAACCACGAGCGCGAAAAAGAACATTGCCTCCGATAAAGTCACAAGGACAATTTGGATCAATAGAATAGAGGCTACTAAAACAAGGATGGGTAATAAAATATACATAAAAGTAAACTCTAAATAAAATAGATATGTTTTTAGTCCAAGTAATGGGTAACGTCACTAAACATTCTTTAATTCCATTTTATATTTAAGGACGAGGAATAAATAAATGCTAAAGAAGGACCATATCTTTCATGTCGTTGAATGTGACATCCACCACTCAAACGGTCAATGAGAAAAGTTAGATTGATGGATAAGATAGTCATGTGATCAATAGTACTAAATTGAATTGAATGGAATGGAATGGAATTGGTATTCTTACCCTAAAAGAAATTGAATTGAATTGGTATTAGGCTATTAGCATACGCATGGACCCCAAAAAGGTCTAGACATGGGTAAAAAGAAAAATAATAAACAAATCTCATACTTTCCCTTCACATGGATCGTTGACTTTAATGAATTCATTTGCTTTATCCAATAATTATTTTGTACAATTTAATGTATACTGTATACAACAACGCATATTGCATCGACGTACGTACGATTTGTTACATGTATTTTGTACATACCAAATTATACAAGTAACATTGTTCGTGCAAATTTGCAAGCCGAAAACGTTGTTGAAAAAGTTGGTTAAGATTTGCCTATGACTCGCGAGGAGGGAAGAAGTTCCTTGCAAAGTTACAACATGATAAGCTTCTTTGTCTCCCAAAAGCCCTGAAAAAAGAAAAATATGATAACTTCTTGGACATGTCATAAGGCCAGTGGTGGTGGAGGTGGGATTCTTTTATTTCTTATATTCTATTTTATGATTCTTTTTGCCACTGCTTTCATTTCAAAATATAAAAATAAAAAATTTCTTATTCCTTAATGACCAGCATAGGCCAGTGGTGGGCTCAAATGCCCAAACTGAGCCCACTTTCAAGGCACGTGAAAAGTGAAAGAACCCATATCTTAGATAAAAAGTACATTTCTAAGAGCATTTCCACAAATTTGCTATGGCAAAGGGTAAGGGCAAGGCAATGACTGTTACTATTCACATGAATAGTAGCAGCCCTTGCAAAAGACTTGTGGTGTTTCCATCCATTACCATGGCAACCACTATTCACATGAGATATAAGGCGAACAATTTGTATAGAGTTTTTGTGTGAGAAGTGAAGAATATGACTAAGCATTTATTACCACACAAAAAAAAATGAATTTATTTTATTTTATTTTCTATTATTTTATTATTTTGTTTTTTGTTACTGACGTCATTGCTAACATCAGGAAACCCAGGCAACAGCCCAGGCTATTTTTGCCTTTGGGCTGTCCTGGTTTGCTGGAACTCAGTTGCTGCCCTGGCAGCTTAGGCCCGCTGGAACTCCAAAACCTCACTTGGGCCCCGTCCTGCCCTGGTAAAGGGTTGTTGCTGGAACTGCTCTAAAGTAGAATTGAGCGATTGAAATGAAAGCACAGTTAAATTCTTAAAAGTCAATAGTGTCCTTACTTTTTTTTGGAGTAATTATTGCATATGTCGGGTACATCACGTGGTTGGTGTACCATTCAATATACACGTAACATATGAAAATATTATTCAATATTTTTCTATGTGAATTGGATGGTACACCAATGACGTGGTGTACCCATAAAAAAATTTCTCTTTTTTCGCCCTTCCTTTGAGAAGTTGGTTTTGGGATAATGTTTAAAACTTTGATATTTGGTGACCAAAAAACAGTGGGCTGCTGGACTAGGATATTTCAGGTATGAGGGTTGGGCTTGGGAATTTGATATTGGGCTGCTAGACTTGGACATAGAAAATATTATTAAAAAAACATACCTGAACTTGTCCGGTTCGGTTTTTAATCTAAGTTGACTTTTTTAGTCAACACGATTTTTATTAACTCAGTTCGTCGATTCTACAGTTTTTATGCCAACCCTTATTTCAAAGTACCTCACCCGATTTTCACTTATTTTTGGTTTAAGCATTATAAATTTAACTGGATTAACAAATAAAAAACTGTAACCCTTTTTATTGTTAATTAATCTCTGTCCGGTTTACAATTTTATTTCAATAGCTAGCCATGTCATGTCAAGTCATGTGTGGCTGAAATTAGAGTTTATGTTGATGGGTCATGGCCAGGGTAGGAGCTGGAGAAATATGTGCTTCTCTCTGTTACAGTAACACAACCCCTTGATGCACCTACAAACCCTGCACGAAGGGCAATATGAGTAACATTCTTTGAAATTCTTACAAGCAGGACCTGCTATGGGCCTCCCTTGCTTCTGCACATAGCTCCTCACCTGCCAATGCCATGTCAACACACACTTCAGTTTCCCTTTTTAATGAGTTTATAAACTTTGACCAGCTTATACTTATATTTTCGTGCAATATATATTTAGTTACATAATTTACTATTAAATAATGAGAATGAGATCTTTTACCAGATGCAATAACCATGAGCAGAACCAAAAGAGTGAGTTTTGAGGAAGGCTTGCCCATGTCTTTTTTACTAGCTAAATTATGTAGTATGAATATGTGTATGATATTGGTGCTAATGTTTTACTGCTGCAGGAGTAATTTTTGGGTGTTCCGGGTACACCACGTGGCTGGTGTACCATCCAATAGACGGAAGACATATGGATGCAAATAATTTAGAAAACTTAACACTTACAGCGCAGCCTCACTCGATGCAAATAATTTAGAATCATGTTGTGATCATTTGGAAATTTTTTTAAAACAAGGCATGTCTTCTGATCTTAATGGGAAAGATTTGTTTGAAGAGTTAAAAATCATACAAGAGATTTTACCGAAAAGGCAAAAACAGTCACTAAAATTTTGAGTTCTTTAACAAAACTAAAATGTTTTCCAAATGCAATTACTGCTTATATTATTAACTTTGCTTGTTATAGTTGCATCTGCTGAGAGAAGTTTTTCAAAATTGAAGTTATTGAAATCTTACTTGCGGTCAACCATGTCACAAGAAAGATTAAATGGTTTAACTTTGAGATATGTTGAAAGTGATTTTTGGAAGAACTTGATTAAGAACTTGATTGTACTCGTTTTATTAATGATTTTGCAGCTCAAAATGCAAGGAGGACAATTTTTAGATGATTCTGTAGCTGGTTTGGTTGCTGGTTGATGATTGTACTTGCTTGAGTTCTTGAGTGTGGTTGGTTTTATAGTATTTTGCTTCATTTTGCCGGGTGTAGGTTTTTTGTATGTAAAGGAAAATTGAGTGGTTGTGAATATGTGAAAGTAGACTAAGAATGATCTTGATTCTATTCGGTTTAATTTATGATTTATGAATTTAAAATTTTGAAAATTTGTTTGTTTATTTATATATATAGGGCCTCATCAGCTTTCTTCGCACGAGGCCTCCATATCTAATGGACCGGCTCTGTTTGTTGCTCTACAGGGCCTTCTTGGACTAATAAGTTTTATGTTAGGTCAATTTAGTATTTTAAAATAGTCCCTGTGTTTTATTCAATTGGCAAATTTAGTTCTTGTATTTTCAATTTGACCAATTTAGTTCCTGTGGTTTACTCTATTAACCAATATTGTCCATTTCGTTAAATTGCCGTTAAAAAATTCATTTAAATTTTAAAAAATTATTAAGTTCTATTTATAAAGAAAACAAATATGAATTAAAAGAACAAAAAATTTTAAAAAAATACTAGAAACCCGACAACCTCTATGTCCTTCTCTCATGCAACCACCACCACCCACCCCACACCACAACCACCATGAGCAGTCCCAGCCACCACCCTATTCTCTCTCTCTCTCTCTCTCTCTGTTTCTCAATTGTCGAAACCCAACATGGCAACCAAGTTCTTCAGTTTCTTTTTGCTGATTCTTTTGCTCTGCTCCACATTCATTGCAATAAAGTGCCCGACTCTTCAATATCATGAGTACTGTACAACAATTGGAGGTTTCCTTGATGGGTTATCTCTTGGAGCCATCAAAGAATCGGGCCCTAGCCCAGGTGAGGGGCACTTACGAACCAACAAACCCTTGGAGGGATAAAGAAATCTGGCCCGAGCCCTCCCTTCCCTCCCCGATCCATCCCACCCAACCCCACAGCTCCTCCATATCACTCTCTCCCTTTTTCCATCCCACCCACGCCCACAAAAATATGAGTGAAATAAAGATTCAACATCAGTATTGGCAGGCAACTGATAGTTGTGGTGTTGGGTTGGGTAGCGGCAGCAGCATGAGAGGAGGACACATAGTCTGTTGGGTTTCCAAAATTTCTTATTTATTTTTATTTTTATTAACATTATAAACTGAACTTAACAATTTTTTTAATTAATTTTTAAACTTTAATGATTTTTTTAACGATAATTTAACATAATGGACGGAGTAAAACACAATGACTAAATTGGTTAAATTAAATACACAGGGACTAAATTTGCCAAATGTACAAAACACATGGACTATTTTAACATTTAAGCCTTAATTTTATGGAAGCAGTTAGACTTATTAAATTTTATATTGTTTTTGTTTTTCCTCGGTGATGATTTTCATTTAATTTTTGAACAGATGAGACAGAGGCAACTTATTCTATGCACTTGCAGGCATGCTGAGATTGAGGCGCTTATACATATTGTCAGGGATGATTTCAAAGATACTTTTGCTGCTCCATCTCAAATATGCTTATTAAAAGTAAGGCTTAAAATTTTGATTTTCGTAGTTTCCGATATCTTGGATGAAATGTTGATATTGCATATGCCTAGGCTGTTGCTGCAGAATTTTCTAACCGAAGGTTTGCAATGAAGCTAATGAACCAATGAATACAGAGCTATTTATATAAAGATATTGTAGCTGTAATATTGTAGGTCCAGCAGATGAAGATGAAGATGCTCAACTTAACAATCCAATATTATTGCAACTGTAATATTGTAGGTCATGTTTCTAGCTTATTACACATAAAGAATGCATTATACTAATTAATTATATATAGTAATTGCAACTTGCATTATACTAATTAACTTTATTCTTTATGCTAGCTTGAGAGGCTTAGATTGAGACACTGTTGGGAATTCCCCTGCCAGTAAGTCCTCCTCCGCTAGTCGGAAACAGCAAAGTGTATGGCATCTTCACCGGTCCAACTCGGTTCTTCAGTTTCTCATCATTGTTCATACTTGTAATTCTGTCCTCAATTTCAGCCAGTTTCCTTCCAAATTTATCAAAGGCTTTCAATGGTTCTGTGTCTACTGTCCACTCAGGAGAGTCTCTCTGCCCCAAATACACTTCATCAGTAGAATGCCTTGACAGAATTTCAATGAGGGCAATGCCAAGCACTGTCTGCAGCTGAGCAGTAATTGTTTTCAAGAAAACTGTATCGGGGCTGGATTCGAGATCTTTGTACTCAGGAGTTCCCTTCTCAGGCATGAATTTTCGGCTTAAAGTTGGGCGGTTGGGAAGGTATCCTGCATAAGGGTACTGTCCAAAGTTGACGGCTGCATGGAGAGCTGAAGCAGTCCATATGATGATAGTGCATGTTTCTACTAGGTCTTCGCAAGTCTGCATTTTAGGCCACCAGGGCTCATCTTTTTTGTCACCATGGCCTTCCTCTACAAGCTCCTTCCACCAGGATTGGAGTTCGGTGTCCTTTTGAATTATGTCATCAGTCTTGTAGTAGAAAGAGCAATAGTCTTCAACCCAAGTTTTAATTGCAAACCAGATTTCAATCCCATCAACGGCATATGGATAGTCCTCGATCAGTAGGCGAAGACCATGTGGAGAATTTGCATCCTTGACTGCAACTCCTCTGTATTTAATCAAAGGCAAAGCAATGTAATTAGAATAAAAAATGGATATTTATTACTTATCTTGTGCTCATTTTAGTTACTTGTGCAGAGGCTATTAACTCACAAAGTGTAGATTTTTGTTTACCTCTTGATGAGATCTGCAGGGAGAGCTTGCTCGGTGAAAACCCAATCCTTATAAACCACTGATGACATCTCCATGGCATACCTAGCTGGAAAAACCGTCGTCTCCAGAATGCCGCCAGCATTAATCACGATTTGCCTGGCAAATGCATTTATGTTCATGGTGTCACGGAAGTGAGGATGCAGAAGTTTGTAAATTGGGTGAACCACGCTTAGCTGCCTGTTTGTAGCTATTACAACTGGCTCACACACTGCATGGGTGTTCAACCTGTGGCCAAAAGATAAAAGAATTATCAGAAACCCAATTCAAACTGCATGTTTTATTCATTTTCTAAGTCTTTTTCTTTGAAAGATTAGTACCAGTGACTGATTAGTTGATGATATCCAGAGTCATTTACAGCCACGTAAGCTTTAGCCAGTTGCCATATGGAGCCTTCTACACCCTCTTCAGCTGGTGTATATACTTTACTAATGCGACCAAATTGATCTCCATCAGGATGAGGCAAGCTTAATTCAATCACCAATGGCTTCAAAGTTCCATCACTTTTCAAGAAAAGAACTGTTCTGCTAGCATAGATCTTGTTGGAAGTTGAGTTTATCCGCCTCAGGTACGGCATCAATGCATCATGATGATCCAATATGAATAACTTGTTCTGCTTGAGTGCCTATCCAACCAAATTCATTTTCATCATTATGAAATGATATAAACTCAAACATAAGCTATAATACAATGTAAAGGAAGCAAATCCAAGATATTACCTCATGCACTGTTAGTCCATCCAAGTTGTTCCCTATATCCTGTTCTGTTATTCTACTGGCTTGATCTCCATAAACTTTTGGGTCTAGTTTGCTTGCTGGTGGAAATTCCTGCAGTTCAGTTAGAAGCAAATGTGATTAAAGATGAACAAAATGGACCCTCCAAGGTTTTGTTTGTTTTTCATCCATTATCATTGGAAAACATCACACACACAAAATGTTGTGAAGATTATTACTTGGAGAAGACTAATGTTGACAGGGTTCACTCCAGCCAGCATTTCTCTGGCAAATTCTTCATCAGTCCTCCAAGCAGACTTATCCTCTGCTCCAAATCATGAAAACATCAGAATTAGATAAAGGGAAATAGTACATGATATCATAGGCTATTGCTTAAAGCCTCTAAATTCAGAATTTCTCATTGGTGGAACCATATACCTTCGATCACTTGCGGCATGGGGAATCTGAGCAATTGTGCACCGTCAGTTCGGAAAATTTCCTTGAGCATCTCTGCAGGAATGTTGTCTCCGATATCCTTCAATAAACCTTCAGGCAATGGAATGCCTCCTTCATAGAGTTTAAGCACATCTTCCAAGCTGTCAAACTCGTTAGGAGTCTTATCAAACAGGGCTTCTAGCTCTGGCCTAATGAATTGAACTATGGATTTCAGTGCATAAGCCAGAAAGTCTGACAACTTCAAGTGTCCAAATCGTTCATCTCTTGGCACATAAACGTTTAAGCTCATAAGAAGTGGAACCCTACTCTCGGTGTTAGGATCTGTTAATTACAACATCAGAAAAATCTTAGTGATAATTACAACATCAGTCAATTAAAATCCAAATTAGTATATCAACTTTTACTGTCAAACAATACAAAATATGATCCCTCTTGTGACTGCTAATAAATGATTTGAGTAACAAAAAATTACACAAAGATATTTAAATGGCTAACCTGTCTTCGTTGGTGGTCTGCCAGTTCTTCCCCTGCGAGGGTAAGGGTACTCGCTAGACCCTCCCAGAGTTGGTCGGGCATATTTGGAACCATTATCAGGGTTTCCTAGATCATTGTAGTAAGCATAGTCATAGACCCTGTCCCATTCCTGGAGCTCTCCCTTTCCATCTCCTCTCAAGTGTACTAGTTCTTCTTCTCTGTATTTTTGCAGCGGCAATGGTGTTTCACTTGGGAGAAATGTCTGCACAAACATATAGCAGGCTTGAATTTTAGTCTTTAACTTAGGATACAAGTCACAAATATACTCATAATACACTTGGCTTGCACTTAGAATTTAAAACTTCCATCAGCTACAACAAAAACTACAGCAGATTGTAATGGATTTTGTGAATCATTCGTTACCTTGTTAACGAAGAAAACACGGTCTTTCGTGTATTTTTCTGCAGGGTACACCCATGAGTTGCAAACAAAGTGGACCCGGCCCTCATGAGGAACACCTTCGAGGGTGATAGTCTTAAGGAAGAACTCACTGTGATGATTGTTTTTTATCAAGATGGCTCCTGGAACTCCTATTTCCTCTTCCCAGTCAAAGGTAACCTTGTATGCAGAATCTCCAACTGTTAATGGAGTGATTGTGGTGATCCAGTCTTCCAGATATGCTGGCTCTCCAAGTTTCCCCTTAAACCCGTTTTCTACAAAAAACACATTTCTCCAAGTTCAGAATATAATTCCATATCTAGGAGGAACAGAACCTGCAGCTGTTTCTTCAGAATATTCAAAGGAAAACAAAAAATAATTGGATCTGAGTAAAAAACCATAATCAGAAAAAGGCTTAAAAGCTATGCCAACAGCCAACCGCCAACTGCATGTGGAGCTTCATTTTCATGTTAACTGGCAGCTAGACTGGTAGTTGGCGTTCACAGGTAAGAATAAGATTGCTTTCCTGTCTAATCACTTCATGACATGACCACTATTTAAAAAATAACAAATGGAATGGCTGATGGCCATGATTTCCTTATCTTTCAAAAGCTAAATTATATCACTTTTTTTAATACTAAACTGGTTTTTTAATCAAATTTTTTGTTACCAGAATCACTGGCAAAAACAATGTTGGGGCACCTTCAATCACAATGACAGAGAGTTGGAAGGGGTAAGCTTAAGACCAATACATTCTAAATGCCTCATGACTGGACCCAAAAATAAAAAATAAAAAAATAAAAAAAAGATTAATTGACCCAGCTGCCCCTTGAATTGTCAAAAAGCTGTTTCCATTGCCTGCCTATATCAGACTTGCATTCAAAATCTGATTTATTGGACCAAAAAGGCAGGTGTGCATTAAATAAGAAAACACATTAACGACAGAGTTGTTGGTTCATCTTCTTAATCTTGTCATAATCGCTTCAAAGAAAAAGAATTACAAGGAAATGAAACAAGAGCAAAACTCAAATTGGTTTCATGTCATGCATATTCAATCAATGAAGCCATAAAAACTATACGTTTTTAATGAAAATTAAAGAGAGAGATAAAAAAAACTCACCAGAGTCTCCATGATCAGCACTGATGAGCTGCAGAGAAACCCTTTGGCCTACCAGTTCATGCACACGATCAAGAACAGAAGCATTGAAGTCATTGAAATCCAACACATTCTTCTTCATCAAAACCACAGTCCCTTTGATCTTCCTACTGTTTTTCCCATTCTGCTCCTGGCCTGTGATTTTGTCAAAGAGGTTGTGCAACATTTTGTTCGGCTTTCCAAGAAGTAAGCAAAGAATCTTATGATCTTTTTTTCGAGAAAAAAGTAGCTGTTGTTGGTGAAGTGAATTGAAAGTTGTTATGGATGAGTGCAACGGGGAATTGTGGTGGTATTTATAGGGAGAGAGTGAGCAATATTGCAACTCCATTATGAGAAGCTTCAGAATAATGATTATCAGTTCGTGTTCAATTTCATTTCATATATGGGCAAGTTTAATTGTCTTACTTTTTCTTTAAAAGATATATATGATTGGTTCCAAGTCAGCAGTCTCTTCTCTGGAAAAAGTCTACCACGACTTTTATCTAAAGAAATTATTTGTTGGGCTGTATATTTCTAGGGATGGCTTGGTGACGGTGACCAAGGGGAGCAAAATGCAAATTAAACCATACTCATCCCTTTAATATTAACCCTTTGTTTATAGAAATTCTATATGCATTACGTTTGTTCTTTGTTAAAATACGGATTTTGTATTAAGATATATAATCAATGGTCTAGCTATAGTATGTTGACACGTTTTATTATTCACATGTTCTCGGTATGATATCAATATTTTAATAAAGAACGGACGTCATGTTCTTAGTAATGGTTCTGTTCCATTTGGGAATAATTTGTTTACTCTTATATGTTGAAGATTTTGTTTGTAGGTTTTAGTGGGATTAGTTTAATCACAACACAAAACAGACACGCACTCTTTTCAATGAAAACTATGTGTGGATCGAATCGATGTACGTGATCTGTGTTTAGCTCAGATCTAGTAGTTTAATCACAGTTATCTTAATCTTTTCTTGCGTGAAATACACACCTTCCGTTTTGTGCATAGCATGCCTACTATGACGAAAATGGTTTAGGGTTTTGTTAAGAGACGGAAATTTGGACGAAAAAATTAATTAAGAAAAAAACCACTTCACATGCAAGAAAAATTCTCTGCAAAAACAACAGTCGCAGAGAAAGGAAAGCTAGCAGTTTGGTGCTGTACCCAAAATTAGAAGACGTATACGTAATGTGGGGTTACAATTTGAATTAATTTGCACCATTTCCTCTCTCATGTGCATTGACATTTCTCGGGACCAAATTGAAGACTTCATACCTAACTATAGTACCATCCATTAATTGAGCATACAATGAATTGGATTTCAAATTTACAGTTGTACCATTATAATCAAGTAGCTTGTCCCACAATGTTTTGAAGAACCTAAAGTTGGATAACCCGACTTGCCTACTAAAATCAAGGCGTTGATTTCCAACTCAACCAAATAGTACCTTGTGTTATTGTCATGCACGCTCAAGTGTATATATATATATATATATATATATATATATATATAATACCTATAATATTTTTATATATATATACACACACACATAAAAAAAAATTTAGGGATCCTATGCAATGACACCACCTGCTTGTCTCCGATAGAATCCCCTCATCTGATAGAGTCACACAGGACAATTTGGATCAATAGAATAGAGGCTGCTAAAACAAGGATGAGTCTAAAATCTACATAAAAGTAAACTCTAAATAAAATAAAATATGTTTTTAGTCCAAGTAATGGGTAACGTCATTAAACATTCTTTAATTCCATTTTATATTTAATAACGAGGAATAAATATATGCTCAAGAAGGAGCATCTTTAATGTCACTGAATGTGACATCCACCAAGCAAACGGTCAATGAGAAAAGTTAGCTTGATATATAAGATAGTCATGTGACCAATAGTATTAAATTGAAGGCTTAATATCACAAAATGTCCTTAAGGTTTATGAAATTATCAAATTGCATTCTTAATATTTTTTTTTGTCATTCGTGGCCCTCAAATTTAGTATGTGCGATCACAAATTGTCCTTGCCATTAGGTTCCTTAAAAAATTCCGTTAGTTTGCTTACGTGACATATATATATATTTATATATATATATCACAAAACATCCTTGAGGTTCACACACTTATCACAAATAGTCCCTGCAAATTTTTTTATTTTTTTAAATTTAAAATTCATAAAATTTTGGTTTTCTTTTTAAAATGATTTATAAATGAAAAAACCATTTATGGAAGGATTTTAATCTTGAAGACCATTTATGAACCCTAAATCCTTGGTTTTTTCATTTTAAATTTTATGAATTTTAAATTATTTAAAAAAAAATCCATTAGTTTGTTGATGTGGCATATATGTGGAGTCCACATCTATAATAATATAGTGTCACGTGTATTTAAATTATAATATATAATTTAAAATTCATAAAATTTTAAAAAGAAAACCAAAATTTTATGAATTTTAAATGAAAAAATTAAAAAAAAATCATAGGGACTATTTGTAATAGGTCGTGAAACTCAGGGACGTTTTGTGATATATATATATATATATATATTCCACGTCAGCAAACTAACGGAGTTTTTAACGGAACCTAACGACAGAGACCATTTGTGATAACACATACTAACCTTGAGGACCACGAATGACAAAAAAGAAAAGAAAAGGAAGCAATCTAATAGTTTCGTAAATCTTAGAGACGTTTTATAATATTAAGTCTAAATTGAATTGAATGGAATGGAATTGAATTGGTATTCTTGCCCTAAAAGAAATTGAATTGAATTGGTATTATGCTATTAGCATACGGATGGACAACCAAAAGGTCTATACATGGGTAAAGGGAAAAATAATAAACAAATCTCATACTTTCCCTTTGCATGGATCGTTGACTTTAATGAATTCATTTGCTTTATCCAATAACTATTTTGTACCACTTTACGTATACTATATACAACACATATCGCATCGATGTACGTAGGATTTGTTACATGTATCCAATAACATCGTTCATGCAAATTTGCAAGTCGAAAATGTTGTTGAAAAAGTTGGTTAAGGTTGGGCTATGACTCTCATGAGGAGGGAAGAAGTTCATTGCAAAGCCGCAAGCCCTAAAAAAAGAAATATGATAACTTCTTGGACATGTCATAAGGCTAGTGGTGGTGGAGGTGGGATTCTTTTATTTATTATATTCCATTCTATGATTCTTTCTGCCTTTGCTTTTATTTTAAAATAAAAAAATAAAAAATTCCTTGTTCCTTGTTCCTTAATGGCCAGCACAGGCCAATAGTGGGCTCAAAAGCCTAAACTGAGCCCACTTTCAAGGCACTTGAAAAGTGAAAGAATCCATGTCTCAAACAAAAAGCACATCTCTAAAGTAAAGCTAAGCTATTGAAATGAAAGCACGGTTGAATTCTTAAAAGTCAATAGTGTCCTTACTTTTTATTTTTTATATTTTTTATTTGGCTTAATTGCTGTTGAGGCCCAAAAAATCCATGGATTGGGCCCGAGCAATTATCAGCCCAATACAATATTTCATAAGGGAAAAGAAAAAAAAAGGGTCTATCACATGCGAGTTATAATCCACATGCCACGCTAAGTAAACAAATTATCATGCTATGATTCGCGATAAAAATATGATTAACTCATGCTAAAATTAAAACAATCCTTCCCAAGGGCGATAAATTAAAATATGCCGAGCAACATGCCATGTCGTTATCTCGCACCCGACCACGCTACAAGCCTAGGTGGGCCCAACCCACTCAAAAAACCCGGGGCTTGCTTGAGTGGGTTGTGGCATGGATGATAATAAATCAACATGGGGCCCATTGATGGGCCGGGAAATGAAAAGTCTCGGGTTACTTAGGAGCCTTGAGGTTCAAGCCCATTTCTTAGGCCCAAACATATGGGTAAGCACAAGAGAAAAAGATAGCCCAATACCTAAGCAAAACAACCCAACCAAAATAAAGCCCAAGCTAAGAAGCCCAATGTTTAATAAAAACCTTTGCTTAGGAAATCACCTTTGGCCCATATAAAATCCTAAAATAGTCCACAAAAAACCTCAGCTTTTGAAAACAGAGGACACGTGAAGAGAGGATGGCAGACTCCTTAAGCAAAGCTGCTGGAAACAAGTCTCAAGCCAGAGACATCCAAAGAATCGATGGGTACTATCCCGCATGCTGTCAGAAGCATCCTTTGGACCAGTATGCATCTTCACTTCCTTTCCTTCGCCAGATTTGGTTAAAAACAGAGGAAATGAAAGAAGAAAAAACAACAAATCAAGAGTGGAAGCTCCCACTGCACGGCTGCGGGAAAAGAGGATGTTGAGCCCCCAAATCCCCTGAATTCATGTAAATAGACAGAAGCAATCTTTGCCAAGAAAGGGGAAGTCAGAGAAGAGGAGGAGAAAGGAAGAAAAAACTTAGCCAAAATAAGTGGAAGCCATTAGGGCTTCTTGAAAAACAATGATTTCCAGCAGCTATAAATTGAGCCTTCTCCTACCCAACAGGAACAACCCACAACCTGCAGAGAGCAAGCTTTCTCTCTATCTTGCAAAAACTCAACAAACTCGTGCACTGTTCATCTTCTTCTCCAATTTGTTTTTCTGGCAGCTGCCAGAAGAACTCTGCCTTTCTTTTTCCTCTTTCCCTAGTCAAATTCCCCACAAAACACCTCATTCCTTACTTAAACACTTTCTTTTCTCATAAACCAAGCCTAATTTCTCTCTTAGTGCTAAACCCATGTTGGTTTTGCTCCCATGCCCCATGCCACTCCTGCTGAGCTGAAAAGACCACCTGTAAGCATGCCAAAACTATCTGCAAGTCACCATTATTCTCGTTGGTGAAGATTATCCAAAATATCTCCTAAGGTTTTGCTGCCTTTTCGAGGTATTTTGGGGCTTAATTTTCGAACCTAAACAAAAAGGGGCAATCTCCTTAGTCTGCCTTTTGCAGCAGCCCAGCCCATTTGCTACTGGAAGATAAAAAGCCCCTACAATTGCTATGGTGCACCCTGAAACATAGGTCAATTCTCACTTTACCCCCTTAAAGTTAAAGTGACCCACTTTGCCCCCTTGACCAAGGTTTGATGTTCCACAATGCCCTCTACCGTCAATTCCATCCAAAAATCTGTTAAGTTTGATGACGTGGCATGAGTGTTTTAGTAATTTTCTGCACCTTAATTTTTTATTCATAAATTTGAGTGGGTAATGTGGCAAAGTGGAGCCCACCTTGAGCATGGATTAAAAAAATTAATAAAAAATTAATAACTTAAAAAAATTAAAATACAAACATAAATTTCTCTCTCTCTCTCCGCAAATTTTTCTTAAGCACATTCAACCATTGGCACAACGTCTTGGAGACCCATTCTACTTACCTAACCAGGAACATGCCTTCAATTCCGAGTATAAAATGAAACAGAATTTTAACGGTTTCTTCAGCACTGTATAATGAATGCAAAATCTCCATTGAGAAGAATTTCAAGCAAAGCAACACCATCAATATAGAACTCAGAAAGGCGACGACTCTAGTATATTAACAAACCATTTGCAGCAAAGTTCATGAATGTGAACAAAGCAACTGGGTAAGGAGGCTGGGGATCAGATCTGCTAGGTTTCTTCAATTTAATCATTTTTGTTTGATTGGGTTTCGATAATTGAAAAGGAGAAATTGAGTTTGATGAGTAGAAGAAATACAATAACTTTTTTCTTTTTTGGGTTTGGTTAATTGAAAGAGAAGAAAAGTTGTCTGGCTAAGGATTGATTCAATTAATGGGTTTGGGTTAGTGACTGTTGGAGAGAGGGAAGGGATGAAGTGGGCGGGGTCACTAGCTGTCGAATAGAGAAGATGAGAGAAAAGCAAAGCCGCTCCAAACTGTGGGAGTTGGGTAGAAAAAGCAGAGGGAGGGGGCAATGGGTCTCCATGGGGAAATAGGGGTGCAGAGAAGAAATTGAGGGAGGTGTAAGAAATCAGAGGGGGGTGGGAGGGGAGGGGGGCGATGGGCTTCTGGGTTCTACGTAAGGAGGGGGTGTGTTGCGGGTTGGGGGGAGGGGGGAGGAGGGGGTTTTCAAGGAGGGGTGGGTTACGGGTGGGGGAGCGATGGCTTTCCGGCATCTACACAGGGAAAGGGGTGGGTTGTAGGTTGCAGGTGGGGGACCGATGCGAATCTGGTGGGTGGGTGGATTTGGTGCGACTGGGAAGGGATGGGTAGTTTTTTTTCTTTCTAAAATATATATTTTTTCAATTTTATGTTAATATTTTAATTTTTTAAAGTAATTAAAAAATCTATGTGCACAAAATTACTAAAACACCCCTGCCATGTCATCAAATTTAACGGACTTTTGGATGGAGTTAACGGAATGGGCAATGTGGAACATCAAACCTTGGTCAAGGGGGCAAAGTGGGTCACTTTAACTTTTAGGGGGTGAAGTGAGAATTGACCAATGTTTCAGGGTGCACTGTAGCACTTAAGCCTTTTTATTTATAGTAATTCTTGCATGTTCCGGGTACACCGCGTGACTGGTGTACCATCTAAAACACATGTAACATAGGAAAATATTATCCAATATTGTCATGTATGTATTGGATGGTACATCAATGACGTGGTGTACCCATACAAGAATTTCTCTTTTTTGGCCCTTACTTTGAGAAGTTGGTTTTGGGCTAATGTTTAAAACTGTAATATTTGGTGACCAAAAACAGTGGGCTGCTGGACTAGGATAGGTATTAGGGTTGGGCTTGGGAATTTGATATTGGGCTGCTAGACTTGAACATTTAGAAAATATTTATTATAAAAAAAAACAAAAAAAAACACCCCATCTTGTCTGATTCGATTTTTAAATATAAGTTGATTTTTTTAGTTAACATGATTATTAATAACTCAGTTCGTCGATTCTGTGGTTTTTATGCCAACCCCTATTTCAAAGTGCCTCACCCGCAATGGCGGACCTGTGCAGGCGCAAGGAGGTGCACATGCACCTTCGGTAGCCGGAAATCTCTATTAAAGCTGTTGGAATTGCACCTATGTTCTGGCTACTGCTGCACTCCAAGTGTTTGAAAAAAAGATTAAGCAAACTTGCAGGGTTCCTTTCTTTTGCTGCGTGTGCATTACAGCTGCTGTCCTTTTGTTTTTTTAAGTTCTGAGCAAAACGACGTCATGTTGTACAAGGCCCAAAAAAAAAGAGGAATTGCAATTCCTACATGCTATTTAGTATACGATAAATCAATTGGGTCATTGGATGAAAAACAAATTGGGCCTTAAATGAGGATTGTCCCTGCATAAATTTGTAGGGTTGCAATATTAATTATCTATCAAGTCTGCAATGTTAATATCGATCAAGTATGTATAAAATTGCATTATTTAAAATATAAAAAAAAGAAAAAAAAAAGAAACCAAGTTTGTATAAAATATTGTCATTGTTTTCATGATATGAAAGTTCGCGGTGAACAATTATAACTTAATTGTAATGTTATATTTTTTTTCTATGAATTACAAATGACATTAGAATTGTTTAAATTCTAAGGTTTTTTTTTATTATAGGAAATTCTAAGGTATTTAGTTGTCTATCTTTTTGGTGTTTTTTTTTAATTTTTTAATTTTTTAATTTTAGCTTTTAGCGTTTTAAAAATTGTCCCTTCCCTAAAAAATTATTGGGTCCCCCAGTGCTCACCCGATTTTTACTTATTTTTTGTTTAAGTATTATAAATTAAATCGGATTAACAAACAAGAGAACAGTTACCCTTTTTGTTATTAATTAATCTCTGTTCGGTTTATAATTTTATTTCAATAGCTGGCCATGTCATGTGTGGCTGAAAATTAGAGTTGATGTTAATGGGTCATTGCCAGGGTAGGAGCTGGAGAAATATGCACTTCTCTCTGTTGTAGTAACAGCCCCTTAATGCCCCCCTCAAACTCTGCACGAAGGGCAATACAAGTAGCATTCTTTGAAATTCTTACAAGCAAGACTTTCTATGGGCACCCTTGCGCATATAGCTCCACATAAGGGTGGGCACTCAAATCAGCGAATCGGAAATCTGAGCCGAACCGCAAACCAAAAAAAAAAAAAAAAAAAAAAAAAAAAAAAAAAAAAGTCAACAACCGAAAATCAACAAATCGAACAAACAGACGGACGACCGTTTGGATCCGGTTTCATCGGTCTTCAAAAATCGGACCGAGCCGAACCGAATTAGTCAAATTTTTTTTAAAAAAATCAATATATATTTATATTTAATGCTATATTTTTAATTTAACAAAAAAAAAAACTAATATTTATCCAAGTTCAATTTCAAAATATCTGTATTTTCTAACTTTAATATTTATTTTTATATGAAATTGAATAATTTGTTAATTTTCAAGTAAAAAATAATAATATTTCAATTGAGAATTGTATTAAAAAATAATTTTTATAATCCGGTTCAAAACTAAATCAGACCGAAACCGGTTCAACTCGAACAAGACAGTTTTTGTAATATTTTTTATTAAAACTGAACCAAATCAAACGGGATAAATAGTACCAGATCGATTCTAATTTGAAGCAAAAACTGGTCCAACCCGAACCATGCCCACCCGTAGCTCCACACCTGCCAATGCCATGCCAACACACACTTGAGTTTCCCTTTTTAATTAGTTTATAAACTTTGACCAGCTTATACTTGTATTTTTGTGCAAAATATATTTAGTTACATAATTTACTATTAAATAATGAGGATGAGATCTTTTACCAGATGTAATAACCATGAATAGAACCAAAAGAGTCTGTTTTGAGGAAGGCTTGTCCATGTCTTTTTGACTAGCTAAATTATGTAGCAGGAATACGTATATGATATTGGTGCTATGTTTTACTGCTACAGAGTATATATTATTTATACAGGTGGAGAGGAATAGGTAAAAATGGTATGGAATTGAATACATACAAAAGTTAATGCATCTTTTCTTTTGGTAAGTGTGCAAAAAATGCATCTTCCTAGATTAGGTTGTAAAGGAGGGTTGCATAGTGTGCTCGTTCTTTTGCACCCGAGTTCGATCCTATTTACACAGCATAGATTAGTTTAAAATCTCGAACTGTAAAGGAGGGTCTCACTTGGGCCGACCTGATTTAATTCAAACTAAGGTCTAGTTGGGTTTGGGTCTAACCGAACTGGCCCAACCCGACTCATTTTTGCAACCTATCCAACTGAGTAAACGACTATCCATGTCAGCACAACGGAAGAAACTGAATTCGACCTAAAAGTCAAGCCTACACTTTACGTGGCACTTACTAAAACCATCATGATCAGAGCAGCTTATCGTGGTCTCCGTTGCACACTATCATTTTCTCCCAAGTCTCTAACGAACGACCCGTTCTCTCTCTCAGAGACAGAGCGTTACCACGCAAACCGTACTCTCTCCGTCCCAGCTCGGTTCCAATTTTCGCGCTCTTCGTCTTCTTTCTCTATGAACCCTAAGCTTCAATCCTGAATCCAAAATCACGCGCATAGATTCAGTTTTTAGGGTTTCTGAATGGATCTCTCCGATGCCCCCTCGTCAAATTCCATGGACGCCTCCATCACCGGTGAGTAACTTTTTACGCAGCTTCTTCAATTGATTTCAAATTTTCTCTATAATTATACAATCACATTTCGCTGGCTTGTGTATTTAAATTGTAAACGTGAAGGGGCGAATCAAATGGAAACAAAAGGTTTCAAAATTTTGGCTTTTTTAAAAAAAAAAAAGAATAAAAATCGAACCTTTATTGGGTAGGCATATGGAATGGAAGAGTTTGTGTAACTGACGTTGAATCTGCCGTATATAATTGTTTAATTGTTTAAAACAAAATTCCAATACAAGAAATTAGTTGCATTTTTGTTCTTTTTGCAGATTAGAAATCTTAATGTTCCATGTAAGTTGTACTTAGCAGAGCATATGTTCTAATCTTTTAATTGCTCAGGACTGCGTGTGAAGCAGCACCGGGAACTAGAAAGCTTAACACTTACAGCGCAGCCATTAAAGACATTAAAGTATTTCATGTTGGGTTTTGGCCAATGCCTTCGACAATTTATGGCAAAAGGTGGTTGGCTTGTGCTTCTAATTATGTTAGCAGGAGGTATAGGAATGCTTACCATAACTTTTGGTGGACCTCAAGAAGAGGTATTTTTATGCCCATTATTTATTTAATTGAATTGCATTTTTATGCCCACTTTTGGACTTTCCTTTATTGATTTTATAAATTAATCATACTGCAGCATATTCAGGAGCTTGTTCGTTATCTTCAATTCGGACTCTGGTGGCTGGCTCTTGGTGTAGCATCATCAATTGGTCTTGGTAAGCAATAGCGTGAAATTTTGAATTTCTGGTGGATAGAGTTGACCTGTTTTCGACAACACTCGGAATGATTTTATTATATTGTTCTTCTATGCAGGATCTGGTTTGCACACATTTGTGCTGTATTTGGGGCCTCATATAGCTCTGTTTACTATGAAGTCCGTGCAGTGTGGCAGAGTTGACATAAAAAGTGCCCCATATGACACCATTCAATTGAAAAGTAGTCCTTCATGGCTGGACAGAGACTGCTCTGAATTTGGGGACCCCATATTTTTATCGCAGCACAGTTCAAGGGTTCCACTTAGCAGGATATTGCCTCAGGTTCAGTTAGAGGCTATCCTATGGGGAATCGGAACTGCACTGGGAGAGCTTCCTCCTTATTTCATATCAAGAGCTGGTAACTACAAAACAACAAACTATCTTCTTGTACTCACTATCTCGATACTCTGCAATCGTCGTAGTAAACAATTTCTAGGCAGGAACAGCCTGTTAGAAAAACTTCAGCTAGTCTAACTTATCCACGCACTTGTGTTTTTACGTGCTCACATGTTCATCTTTTACTTATTTCATGGCCCTTTGTAAGTCGGGAGTATATCTGGATTCTTTAACCTGACTACATAGTGTAAGGGTGAGTGAGTTGCATATGTTGAACCACTAATTTCTCCCTGAACGAATTTCTGAATCTCTCCTAATCTATGATTATGTGCAGCTCGTATATCTGGCGAAAAATTGGAAGTCATGAAAGACTTGGATTCTTCTTCAACTGAAGATAGTGGAATTGTAGCTAATCGTCTGAACCGGATCAAATTATGGCTTCTCTCTCATACACAATATCTGAACTTTTTAACTATATTAGTTCTTGCTTCGGTAATTTTTTTTTCTCTCTTCTAGCAAAACTTTTCTGATATGTCATTGCCCCGAAATGAGGGTTTGGAGATGTATTTTGGATACCCCTTTTTCCTAAGGCTAATTGTACTTTCTCTCAGCACATTCTGTACTTAGTTCCCTTTTGAGACCTCCTGATGTGTTTATCCAAAATAATTTTCAGGTGCCCAACCCTCTATTTGACCTTGCCGGTATAATGTGTGGACAATTTGGCATTCCATTTTGGACGTTCTTCCTATCAACATTGATTGGAAAGGCATTTATCAAGACTCACATACAGGTTTGTTGCCTTGTAAGATATTTCAACATTTTGAAGATTCATAGTGTCTGCTCATTTCACAAACGGTTTATGTTGCCCCGTAATTGCAGACAGTTTTCATCATCTCAGTTTGCAACAATCAACTTCTGGACTTGGTAGAAAATAAATTGATTTGGGCGTTCAGCTTTGTCCCTGGATTTGGTTTGGTTGTGCCCGACCTCATCGCCAAATTACATACTGTGAAAGACAAGTATATGCATGCCTCTCCTGCAGTGCCCTCAAACAGCAAGGTAGTGTTTTCTGTGTTATGGCTTGAGTATCTATATGTTATAAGTTAATTTTACAAGCAAAGTGTTTGAGCCTATTTGGAGTGTTTCATATAAGATATACTTTTCTCCATTTTCTGCTTTCAGGAGAAAAAGTGGGACTTATCATTTAGTTCGATTTGGAACACTGTTGTGTGGCTCATGCTCATGAACTTTTTCATCAAGATTGTCACAGCAACTGCGCAAAGCGTTCTCAAGGAAGAACATGAAAAGGAGTTGACTGCATTGTCGAACAAGCCGCATACATCAGAACAAAAAAATAATGGGTGTTGCAGCCAAGCTTCCGATTGAATTTTCCGAAGGTCGTTCGGATTTGATTAATTTTCTTTTCTAATATTCAAAGCTTTGGAATTTAGTGGCAGAAATTTTTTTGTATCTGCCAGCCATGATTATTTCGCCCAAAGCTTGAACCTACTTATCTCTGTTTCAGTTTGTACATAAAACAACCATGCCATGAAGCATAAGTTAACCTGTAGAAGTATCTACATGTCTTGTAGGGGATCCTATTTGTACCATTATATCACCCTCCTGGGAAATTCAGTGGAATAAAATTCATCTGGATATTAGCGTATTTTAGTAAATGACTGGGGAATGTTGTTCCTGTGCTCCATCAGCTGCATGCAAAGAGAATTTTGGCCATTTCTTGAACTTTCAATGTAGAAATTCAACTTTCAAGTAAAAACTAATTAAGATTCTCTACTCAAATTCGGAAAGCATGTAATATTAACACTTCTGACACTGGGCACTTACACTAAAACAATTACAAAGCACAAGTAGGTAGGTGGTAGGCGTTATTTCACAATTGCAAATCATAAGACCCCATGCACATTTTGGTCCATTGGTTGATGATGAAATGAGCATCATAAACTGGAAAACAATATAAATCTAAACCTCTTTTTTTTTTTTTTTTTTTTTTTTTTTATCATTAATCAAATCCCAAGACCAGTGGCTAGTGAGGCTTGCAATGCTTCAAAACTAGGGTTTGCCTTGGAGACCCTCCTTGGGTATTTAACTTTCATGGTTTCCAAAGTAGAAATTACTGTATCAAGCAAAGCCGGTTTCCCATCTGAGGTCCTGGGAGAACTGAGATATTGCAGCTCTTGGATCACCATCAGCAATGGTCAAGTAGTACTGAGCAGTGGCATCATCAACTTGCATGCTTCTCCTCAGTGACTCAATCACCCTCTTCTTACTCTGCAAATCAGTTGCAGAGCAAGAAGACGTTCTTGAGCTGCCATTGCTGGTCGTTTTGTGGAGCTCAGGGCCGCCTTCCAAATACAGCACAGCCACTTCTCTCTTAGCACAAGTATCCACTTCAATATAACAAGTAGCCTGCAAAAGCATCTCCGGATTGCTTATCGGGATCAGCAATCTCTCACGAGAGTATATTCCGTGCTCGCTCATCGTGTTGTTCAAACGCTTTATGTCCATCACCTGATCACCATTCACCATACAACATTTTAATTAAAATCTTGACTTTTTTATTTTCTTGGCGACCAAACACATCATAAAAACCCTAGATACCTGAACAGAATACTTGACGGCGAGACTGGCGATGCTGTCGCCACGGACAATCCGGTGCGAGATGGCGAATTTTCCGAGAGAATTGTCTCTCCAGAAGTTTCCAGACGCTGGCTTTCCGATGACATGCTTCAGATTCCAAGGGGCTTTGAAGGCTCTGGTGACGATCTCCTGATCGGAGGCGACCGAGTTCCAGACTCGGCAGACGCAGCTGCAGCGAGCAAGGTCGGGAATCGGGAGCTTCTCGAAGATGAGGCGGAGGGTGTCGCGGCAAGTCAAGGCCGAGAAGTGAGAGTTCATCGGAGATATGGTGGAGTCGGAGAAGTCTAGGATTTCGGTGGTGGTGGTGGGGTTGAGAGGGTTGAGGATGTCGTCGTCGTTTTCTTCGTCCCCGCAGCAGCCCATTGTCGTTTAAAAGCTGAGAGTAGATCCTAGGGTTCTTTTGTAGCTTACGAACTAACAATCAACGACGTCCATTAAAATTTCTGATAAGTTTTGAGTTGTTGGACTGTTGGGTTTAGCTATTTCTCTTTGTTGGGCCACGTAGACAGTGTTGCCCACATTTTAGGGCCCACAACATAGAAGCCCTTCTTGTACTAAAATACAAAAGAAAATGTGAAAATATTTTTGGGTGGTTCTTTATTTTAAATAAAGATCCCAACTATTAATTTTCCAAATCCTATTTATATGGATTATATTGCATGAATTAAAAACTTGCAAAGAAAAAGAAATATATGTTGAGATATAAATTAAAAATATCAACCAGCTTCTTTTCTTAAATTTAGAATACAAAATACAATACATCACAGCTTCAAAGATTCTGCAGAACAAACGTCTTCATCAAGGCATCTTGTACAGTAAATAAGAATATCCGAGCATCCATGGCAGAGAAAAAGGGGGCCTAAAATCTAATTTCTATATCAACCGCTGGCTTGGGAAAAAATATTGAAAACAAAATAAAACTCATCAACTTCACCACCCATGACTGTGGCCGAGACCGTATGCATCAGGATAACCAGTGCCATGAACATGGCCATGACCATGATGGTGGTCATGCCCATCATCATGACCATGATGCTCACCGCTTTTTGCTTCATCAAACATCTTCTGAATATGCTCTGGGATGGGCTCTTCCTCAACCTTTCTGACAGATGAAGGCAGCGAGGACACAAAATAAGCAATATTTTCAGCTACCTCATCAGCTGCGTCCTCCTATATCACCCGATGGAATAAATCAGCTCATTTGAATTTCCACACACCATGAGTAAGAAGACCTTGAAACAGAGTAATTTCTTGAACTACTTGCCATGATGTTCAACGAAATATTTAGTTCATCCATGAAATGGAAAGTAAAATCAAAGTCTTTACTTTAGCATATAAGTAGGAAAAAGCATTAGTATTTTGATTGCACTAATAGTATCATACACGAGGGCAATGAATAAAAGAGAACAAATAAAGTAAAACATGCATAAGATTATACCAACAGAAGGCCTTGTTGCTTCAAATTCTATAAAGAACTCAACACACACACAGTAAAAGAAACTATCTGCAACTGTCTTCCGATTCGAATACCTTTTCGCCCTAGCCATTCAGTAGCAATTTTTAACATCAGATTCCAACAAAGAGCAGTGTTGTTTCAGTATTCATCAACATAAACCATAAACCAACCACCAGCTTCTTGACTTAGACTACAAAATTGGTAAGATAGGCATAAATCCTTCCACAGACCACTTAACATATTCTACATTTTTGAGCAGGAACTAACTGGTTATATTGATTTTAAATCAAGGCTGGCCGTCCAAAGAGTAAGCCTCCTCAACCCAACAGTTGTTGCTCTATATGGAAACTTACATAGAGACCACATGCAGATGCTATTCTCTGAATATACCATTACATCCTATCTTTATAGTAATTACAGTCCTAAATATCTATTTGACAGGCAATACAAAGTCGCATTCAGAACCTAACAGAGACAAATTTCATATCTTTCTACCATTTAGAATTCGAAACAGCATTATCCTATGGAAACTGAGACCAAACAATTGTATCCCAAATATTGAGATTTTTAGTCTTACCACATACACGAAAAACAAGCAGTAGCTACTGAATATATCAAATCCTCACCTGAGGCCACCGTCCACCAGAATGGGTCACAAAAGTTGCCTGTGGAAGTGCACTTGCAACTCGGTTTCCCTCTTCACTCCATTCCTTGGACCAACTGCTAGACCAAAGCACTTGCATCGGCACACCTATCAGTCCATCCGAGCCACCCCACTGTGCTATATCAAAGCTATGATTTAACTTCTTCCCCATTCCAACAATTGCTTTTGTCCCATCCCTACCCTTCAAAAGAAGTCTATGCGCATCCACTTCCAAAACATCAATCCCCCTTGAGCAACACAGCTTAATCAACCATGTATAAGCATATGAAAACCTCAACACAACCTCCCTAACCACTGGCACTCCCAAAACCCACAAAGGCAAAGCACCTGTCGATCTGGATGAGGTATCAATAAGCGTCACACTCCTCACGGCTTCCGAATTCTCCAAAACCCAATTTGCAAGCATCCCCAAAGCTGAATCATGCAAAACCAAATGCACAGGAGCCAAACCTACAGTCTCAATCACTTGTCCCAACACCTTGCCAATCTCATCAGGACCCATTTCAATTGGCTTTACAAACTTTTGTTTTGGCATCCGAGATTCTATTTCTTCATAGGGAATCTGGCCAGTTTCAATTATCTCATCAAATGCCCAAAACAAACCCTTCTCTTGAATTTCACTATAGACATACCAAAACCTCCCTAAAATCCCAGTTGGTCCCTCTCCAACCTCCACCACCGATTTATCCGAAAACCCATTTCCAGGTAAGTCAAACGCAACCGCACGAACCCCTTTAGAGCCTAAAGATTCAATTACTTTGCGAAAAGAGTAGGAGCTAAGACCCAGCCCATGAACAATAACAACATTTTCTGCTGTTATAGGACCTTGCTCAGTAGAAAAAAACTTCAACGGGGTTCTGGTTTGAGTGAGTCTGAACCTTTATAGTGCGGCCCTTGGAGTAGTGTTGGCGAAGAGACGTGGGCAAGCTCAAAAACCAAGACTTTGGGTCTTGTGGGGACAGAGAGGAGAGAGAAATGAAGAAGAAGGTCACAAGAGAGACTGTAAGAGTGAAGTAGAACCAGAAAGCGAATGGATTTTGACCATTTTGTGGTGCAACTGGTGTTTCTGTTGGTGAAGAAGTGGGTTTTGATGTTGAAGGTTGGGTTGGTTTGATCTCTGATGACCGTTTCGGCTCTTGTCGTTGTTGGTCTTCCTCTTCCTCTGTGATGATCACCATTGAAGAAAGCTTGAAGGTTTTAAAATGGGGATTTTTGAGCTTGAACAGGAACTGGAATTGGGTTGGTTTGAACTTTGATCTACGGAGTAGAACTGAAAAGTAAAGTGAGAGAGAGAGAGGGAGTGTGTAAAGTGGGGAGAAAAAGTTCTGAGCTTTTCCTATTAAAGATTTCTTTATTATTTTATGGCTGTAGAATGGTGCGACCTTTTGTGTCGTTTCTCGTTTGAGTTTGGGTAAGAAGGAAACGACATGTCGCTGGTGATCCATTTGTGAAATGGTTTGCAAGTTCCTCTCCCACTAGGACCAAATTGGAACCAATCCTTGAAAGTAGGGAGAGGGTCCTCTAATTCCCAAAATGCAAAATCATTCACTTCTATCTTTATTCTCTCGTTTAACATACCTTAAATTTAGTGACTTTTCTAATCCAATTCAATTATAGACACCAAACGAGCTTTAAGTAAAAATTATTTAATGACGTTTATAACTTCTAATTAATAATATAATTGAATTGATGTTGTCAATGCACAATATTATGTGTGGTTATGGGGGTCAGCTTGTTAAGACCTATCAATATGATCTTACTCGGGAAGTATAAATATGAGCAAAACATTGGAGATCAACACAATAAAACACAGTCGGAGAACATAAATTTTGAAGTTAAGAAGAATAATATGTTTGATACATAGTGGACTAGACGAGGAGGAGGTGGTGGGGTATGAGTTCTGAGCATGTACGTAGGTGTTTCTCCTTTATATACCTTGGGCAGAGCAAAGGAACAAGTAGACTCTATTTGCTTAATACCATGAAAATTATTAATTAATAAATTATTGTTTCTTCCCTTGAATTTGTCAATATTTTTGAAAACCTATTACAAAAATCAATGGAAATCAGGAATCAATTTAATAATCCTCAAACCTAATTCACAAAATATGGAATTTAGTACAAAACACAATAAGCAAGTTCATGGCTTCTTAACTTTGAAATTGTGGCTTGGTTGTTGGGTTGCACTGGTGCAATGAAGTTTATTGCAGCTTCTACGTGACTTGCCAAATGTCCAGTAGCACTTTAGGTGAAGCAATACAAAGTCTACATGAAAATAGAAAGAAAAATACCATTTTCAGAGTATATATGACAGTTATGTGTTTTGGCTACGGTTTTTGATCTTTAGCACCGATTTGTGTGCTTTTAGTGACGAAATAAAGGCCCCATACATCTAAAAGGTCTTTAGCAGCGCATCAAACCGCCGCTAACTGTTGCTAAAAGTCAATGTAACGACAGACAGCAATAGCGCCACTAAAAGTCGATAGATTATTCAAATCATCTCCCCCCTGTTCCATGTCCGTGACTTTGACATTTAATAGAAAAGAGAAAGAAAAACCTCGTTTTTTTATTTATACACATACCCAGATTACATGAAAACATCATTTAAAAATCTCGTCCAAATGATTTAATTGGATACATAAAAATTCCCCATGCTGTTCAACACACAAGATTGGATGGGAAAGAAATTTAAAAATCTCCTCTCGCATGTTATCATTGCTCAATCCTTCTAGGTAAGCGCTAAAGCTGGATTATCCTGATGAATCCTGGTATTGCTACATCCCTATGAATATGTACTGCTTCCCATACTCTATCCAATCTATCAAGCCTTCATAGAACATAACCTGCATAGTGCAAGATGAAATCATAACTTTGAAACAAAACTATTATACTAGAAATAAGAATGAGAGCTTGTTCAGGAAAGAGCAACAGAATAATGACAAGAAGATCATTTAGAGGCCAAAAGCTGAACTGCCTAAGATTCACCACTGACCAAAACACGGTACCTCTGAATTTTTCTTTTTGGGACGAAACAAGGCAATAAACAAGTGCGGGGGAGTGCATGTCAAGGAGTGGCAAACCTATTAGAATAAATTTTGGCTATAGGAGTTGCAGTCGTATTTTCCTATTGTTACCAAGCAATTGTGGTAAAGGCCAAAAGAAAAGGGATGAGACATACAAACTATCACTATTCAACATACCATTAGACCAGGAAATGGCACATCCCTTGCGAGTGTGGACCAGTATATGCCTAATGAGAGAAAACTTAAAACCTGCAATTGCGCAAGAACATTAAGGTCATAGTTCATATGTTCGCAAATGCATGCCTGATATGTGTTGTTCTGTCAGTGTTGTGTGCAGATGCATGCATTGATGGGGGTGGGCAGGCAATGACCTCCAGTATTTTACAGAGAACTATTGGCCTCATGGTGAAAGTGGATTGCGAGTAAGCTACTTTTCTTTTAATATTTCTTATTACAATCGCAGATGTTATAAATGAAAGAAAGTTAGAAGGAGGAGGACGAATGAGACGTCCATCTAACATTCTCAATCCCAAACAAAAATTACAACCAAATCAAACTAACTAGTTTCGATGACACACACCAATTGAGTTAAGAGGCCAACAGTCTTCAAGACTCTTAATTGCCTGATCCCCATCATGATGAAAAACAGAGAGAAGAGGGAAAGAAGAGGAGGGACCATACATTGGATACCAGCCATCATAGCTAAGCTATGGAAACACTAATAAAATGCCAGATTGAGTACTCGAAATTTACTTTCTTACATACAATTAATATCAAGCTAAATGCCATCCAAAAAATTGAGCTTTACCCATTAGCCATGAATGTTAGATCCATAACATCTCTACTCTATGATCATATCCCTGACTTTCACAAAGATTAGCTCGGCTCTGAATGCATGTATTTACAGAGACAACTGGATGAGTCATTCCTTCCCCAAGTGCCCCAGAAATAGTTCCCCACAGAAGCTCCCTTCAAACTACATTGACAGATTAAAGAATTACTTACAACCTTCCCACAAGTCCATTCCATACATAGTTCACAATTCTACAATGCAAAACTTTACAAACGCATAATGTTATACATGCACTAAATACCAAAACCCTGATTTCTTTTATTTCCCAACAAAATTTGTTAATAAAGAAATAAAATGTTTTCCTTCAATTCCTTTTGAAAACAAAATAAAAACAACAATTGGGTTTTCAACTGCTTCAAAGTCCAAAAAATGTATAGCTAAACCTATCTGAAATACTCAATGGTTGCATTTGGCGAGAAGATTAGAGTTTTATTCTTTCATTTCTACTGCTTGATGTTCTCGCTATCCAAATAATAGAAGTGAGAAATTGGCGAATTGGAAGCTTACCAGAGAAGGGGTTTGAGTTGTATAGCCTAAAGCATGAATTTTGATCGAACTCGAGCTCTGTATCGCCATTGAAATAGCTTCTCTCTCTCTGTCTCACTGGTTAGGGATTGTGAATTTTTTAAGTCAGAAGGGGCGGATTTTGGCTTAACAATATTTTATTATAAAGGTTATCTTTTTTGTAAGTTAATTAAAAGGTCTTAATTTTAGTCCAGTTTAATATTTATAGCAAGTAATCATAACATAAAACGACGTCGCTACCATGAGTGCTGAAAAGAAAGATTCTTTTTTTTGGGATTAATTTTTGGTCAATCTTCGTTCTCAACGGCAAAAATCGTATCTTCTTCCCTCTCTGTGTGTTAGTTAACTGATACAAAAGCTTCATCTGTGATCTCTCTCTCTGTCTCTCTCTCTCCCCCCTCCCCCCCGGCGCGGAATTTTGCTGCGATGCACTCACTGTCGTCACAAGTAGCTCGCCCTCTCTGCTCTCCCTCCTCACACTCTCACTACTTCCGCTTCCTCTCTCTCTCTCTCCCCATTTTCCACAGTTCCAAATCCCACCCCAAAATTTTCACTATTTCCCCGAAAGCCCCGCTCTTGACAGTCCGAGATTGCACCTCATTCTCTGCCAAGCCCTCTTCGGAGCTCCGAAACAAGCGTTCCAATTCCGACTCCGACGAGAAGCTCCGTGCCCTCCGCGAGCTCTTCTCGAAGCCCAGTGTTGGCATCGACGCCTATATCATTCCCTCTCAGGATGCTCACCAGGTTAAATTTCCAGTTTTTCGAATTTTGCTTCCTTTTTTTTTCGGTTGAGATTGTGTGTGGGTTGTAGAAAACAACTGGGTTTTGCTTATTTTGAGAGTTGTCGGTTTTTGTCTATCCTTTATTTTCTTTCCTTTGTGAAAAATTGACCATTTCCACATGTTTATGATTCAGCATGGTGACGGTGTGTCGGTTGTAAGATACACTTGAATTTGTCTAGTTTGAGATACTGTCTTGAAAGTAACGAGCTTTGCTTTTAGTTTTTTTTTATAATCATAATTTTAGTTTGTGGTATGCGATAGTGCGCTGAACAATTCATCTGGGTTTTACCGTTTGAAGCATTTAGATTGTAAAACTAAGAGTTCGTTGAAGTTTTTCGTTTTGTTTATTAGTTTTGAAGTTATGAGTAAATGGAAAGAAAATGCTGAAATTCTTTTCAGTATTAGGTTTATCTAAACAGCTTTGACATTATTCCTTTTTCGTTTCACTTCTTTATGTATCACAAGGACCAAACAGTCTTAGCTGTTAGGTTCTATGTTTATTTTGCATATAGCTCAGGTGTTGTAGCGTTTCTGCATTGGGTTCTAGCATTCCATGTTGCCAGTAAATTGTAAGTGCCCTTTTCATTTTGGCTTCAGAGTGAGTTCATTGCTGAATGTTATATGAGGAGGGCATATATATCGGGGTTCACTGGAAGTGCTGGCACTGCAGTCGTCACAAAGGATAAAGCAGCTCTTTGGACTGATGGGCGCTATTTTCTTCAGGTATGTAAAGATACAAAATCACTTTCACTTTCACTTTTAGATCGTCTCTTGTGTGTTATTTCTTTACTATATGCACATCATAGTCTCTTTTCTTTTGAGTTTTATATTTTGTAGTGTTATCATATTGGAAGAATGGTTTCTGATTTTGTATCATCTGGCTTGAGGTGCAGTTCCTGATAACATTTACTCTTTCCTATTGTTAGGCTGAAAAGCAGCTAAGCTCTAGTTGGATTCTCATGAGGGCTGGTAGTCTTGGAGTTCCTACAACTATTG